GCACTAATAGCAGGACGAACATTCAATAAAAATCATTTTTCGCAGCCAGTCTACGACTTTTAAGTTTCATGAAATCTCTAAGCAGCGTCACTTATTTGTAGTAAGTCATAACGATAGAAAACCAGACAAATTCGACAAGGTAAGAAGAGTCAAACACTTATTGAAAGAGATTTCTTTGCTGCAAGGCAAAATAACGACCGTTTATAGATTAGGATCAGCATTTAAGATATTAAATTCTGGAAAATTTTGTCAAATCTTATTAGTGATGTTGGATTCTGATAGCACTTGTATTAGAGTTGAAGATAACTTTTGTAATGAATTATATCTTAAGGCTCCTCTGTTAACTTATATCTCAAGATATTGACTCGTTTGCAATTTGATTTAACGAGTGAAACCATGGATACGCGTATCATCTGCATATCTCAATTTAAATAAAGAACCCAAACCAAGAAGTACTTCTAGATAGCAGACATTTTGATGAATAGCAGATTTGTTTGATGAATATATATATATATTTATATATATATATATATATATATATATATATATATATATATATATATATATATAAAATTAATAAACAATAAAATCCCAAATAATCTCATTTGGTTCGTTCGTGTCAGAAATAGATTTTTAACTGTGAAAGTTAAAAAAATATAACCTGCCGAAAAACTATTACAGAATTTATCCATTTCACTGTTTCATTTAGTTGAAAGGCATGAGACAGGGGTGAAGGGAGGGTGGAATGTATTTGTCTTAAAGGGAAGAAGTTTTATACAATTAAACCCGAATATTAACCTTATGACATTAATTTGGGGTTATATGAAGAATGAGATATTAATTCAAAATTAAAAGAGGAATAAAAAGGGGTTTAAAAATAACTGTAAAATATATAAATAAAATGATGTAAGGGATTAATGGAAAGAGAGTTGGGAAGATCTAGAGTATGGGAACGTTTATAAATTGTAATTAATATAGTGTAAAGAGCTTATAGGGGAGGAAATATAAATTAACATTAGTTATACTTTCGACATTTGAAGAGTGAAAGGAGAGTGAATATTATGGAAAAATAGTAGATAATAAAGTTAAACCTATATTATGGAAATTTGAATTTGTTTTTATGTCGACATTTTATTATTATTATTATTATTATTATATATATATATATATATATATATATATATATATAGATAGATAGATAGATATATGCGTGTGTGCGTGTGTGTGCGTACGCGCGTGTGTGTGTGTTTACTAATGTCACCCTAATTAAAAAGGAACATAACTCTTTACGAAAACGTACTTCGAGGGCATCAGTCAGTTATGCGCCATTTATGGTACACGCTTAGGCGATCATGTATCTTTCGAGTGGGTTGCCACTTCTTTCTGCGGTAGATTAGTTACTGCCCAAGTTTATAGAATGTGGGGAAAATTGTGAAAATGGCTTACCTCGGAAACGCGTGCGAATCTGTGCAGTGTGCAAACTCCTGTCCTCCCAACGGTAAAAGGAACCAAAATGGCGGCGCCCATATTTTATGCCGGGCGGTCTCGGTTAGTTAACGCGAAATCTCGTTGTCTCGTCATTCGCATGCAAATCGTGGTCGGTCCTCGGCTGTATAAAGCAGGCTCGTTTTACTGTTTGAGATGAGAGAGCTTTCGGCTCGTGAGAAGGTTGAACGTGCGACACCGGTTTTTTGTTCCTACCTGCTATCATCAGTTGAGTTGTTGCGTTACCTCCCACATAGAACCCTGTCTGTCCTGCTATTCACACATAGCTGGTGTGTGGAGAAGAGGATTCATACATTTCCCAACGGTGTTAGCACATAAGTGAATGTAATGGATTCGACTAGAATTCGAATTCGGCTCTCCGATTCCTCAATCCGAGCCGCTATCCATTACTCTACCGTGCCTCCTCGAGGGCATGCTAATAACAATATTACCAACTATAAACATACCTCAAAAACATTATCTTATATCATCAACCTTTATTGAATCCATTCTTAAAGAATCTAATGCATGTTTAAGATAAATGGTATGTATGTAAAAAACGTTCTGGAGTCAACATGCGAAAAACCGTCTAACATAATGTCTACACCAACCAAAATACACAAACACACACACACAACCAACTAAAACACACACCCACTTACGAATATACATTATCCTCTGAATCTCACATAGACAAAATAGAATTATTATACACTTATATACATAAAACAATATTTACAGTTTTTCAGGTAGGTTTGGATTCCATTAATTTCTCCAAACGTCGTATGGACGCGTCGTCTCTCTTTGAATTCGGAAAGAGCCACAAATTATATTAACGTTGGTTTAAAACGTCAAATGCACATCAAAACTGACAGACAAAGGTAAAAATATAAAAATTTCTTTCTTATTTTCGACCTATCTCTGAAGAAGCTTTAATAAATGGGAAACATGTTAGATTGATAAACGTTTTCAATTTGTTCTTTAACTTATCATTCTGTTGGATTCCGATCCATATTTGATCTATTTTTGATACCAACTTTTATTTTTTTTTATATTTATAATATACTAGCAGTACAGCCCGGCGTTGCCCGGGGATGTAACAGTAAGAGATAGATCAAGTATCGACCATCATAAAGACTGAAAAATAAAATCGACAAAGATTATTGTTTAAGGTTGATGGACACGCATGTCTTAATTATTTTTTTTTTTTTACGAATTGGTCAAACCCAAACTCAAACAAAAACATTGTTTTCAATCGTTATGAGTCTATCGATTGAATAGAATTTTATTATAAACAGTTTTCTTGTAAATGGAATTTTTAAAGCATTCTGAATGTAAAAATAAAGAAAAAAGTGTGCAAGACAATAAGAAACCCTACCTGCCAAAAAAAGTGAAGTTTTGTTGAAATCGGTTGAAAAATGTGGGAAATCCGATCCAATATATAAACGAAACACACACACACACACACACACACACACACACACACACACACACACACACAACCTGGGTTTTCTAAGTATAACTCGATATGAGGTGCCCCCTTTCATTCTGTCGACAGAATCGTGTTTTATCGTGTTTTCAATTGATTTCGTGCAAAAACAATTGTGTTTTTCCAATTTTGGCACTGTCAGAACCACTGCAAGGTAATTTTACGCAGTCCTGTGAAGTTTTGTTGAAATCGGTTGAAAAATGTAGGAAACCGATCCAAATTTAAAACACACACACACACACACACACACACACACACACACACACACACACACAATCTGTGTTTTATAATAAGTAAGATTTATTATTCTTCTCATAAGGATTACAGGTTTGATTCCTATCAGAGAACGCATATTTTCTAAGAAATTGAACATGTAGTCCGGCAAATGTAACTAATACTGTTTAATTAAAAACAGCATTTAAAATATATCTATAAAAATAATGTATAAACAGAAAAAAATATATATATATATATATATATATATATATATATATATATATATATATATGATCAAATATAATTTTAACGTATGCTATATTTATGGGATAAAGTGCTCAATATCAGGGAATGAGCGTCTGTAAATATAAAAGTGAACATTAAATTTAACACACAGAGACGACAGTCTTTTTCATATTAAACGTAATTGTGATGGCTTAATTGTTCAAGCTATACAATAAGATGATCTTAAGAGAAAGAAACACAAGGATTTATTTATTCAAAACATAAGTCAAAAAAGCCACTAAAATGCAAGGGGCTACTAAGTGTTAGAGAATATGAAAAAAAAACTATTAAGGAGAAAGGACAATAAAAGAACAAGAATTAAAAATAAAAAAACAAAAGATATTGATTGACATTGCATTTACTTTTTTGAATATCAAAGTTGACGGAAAGTAAGAAGCCAGAAGAAATTCCCACAAGCGAGAAGTGTGATGGAGGATAATGCTAGCATAGAACTTACGGTTATTTCTAGACGTTTCAACTGTAAAATGATGAGATCTTGCCACCAATCTATACACATACAATAATGATGCATATACGTACAATAAAAAAACTGCCTTTTTATCATGTCGCTCCAAGCAAGGCAATAAAGTCACTAAGAAGCAATGGGTTACTGACTGTGAAAGAATATGAGAAAAAGAACAAAAAATTAACGCGAGAGAACAATAAAAGAACGGGAATTAAGAGGACAGAAGATAACAGAAGATAACTTTGAAAATCAAAGTTGATTGGGAAGCAAGAAACCGGAAGAGATTTCCACAAAGTGAGACGGGCGATAGAAGAAACTGTTAGCATAGAACTTACGGTTACATCTAGCCATTTCAACTGTAAGAAGATGAGACCTTGCCACCAATCAAGTACTGCGCTTAAATTCATAAAATAAAAATAAAACAAGAAACTTTTGTGACTGGATGACAGGGCAAAGACAAAGAGATGTGGTTATCTTGAGGAACAAAAGACATGATCGCCCACGGCCTGTAGGGACATAAAAGAAGAAGAAGAAAATTGATTTACAGCCTCAGTAGTTTATTTTTTGTTACTTCTCTGATGTGAGTAATCATTTATTATTTCAATTTCATGTTGACATGAAAGTTGCACTTGAATTTGTGAGAAAAGAGTAAGCCACTCAGCGTCAGATATTTTCCCCAGGAAATAGAATATAATTAAACGAAAGGCATCTACCAGTTTAAGTGTATTTAATTAAATGCAAAGAGTCTGAAAGATTCTGAAAACAAAATTGGAAATTGCTATTGGTTGATACTCACCTTTAATTAACCTACTTCACATCGTCGGACCAGGTAAGAAGGCAAAAATAGGCATATCTCCCGAGATAGGACTTCCCATTACGTTAAAAGGATTCGGTTTAGGCATAAGACCTGGCACTTGTATCAAAATCTGTTGCTTCAGGACTATATTGGGATGACCTACCATAGCAAAAGCTGTTGACTAATGCCCCCAACCCCACAGTGGGTATACAAATTATTCGTCTGCCACTAAAAACTGAATATGATATTATGGGATGGCGAGC